GCATGCAAGGCAAGCGCTCTACCACTGAGCCACCTTCCCAGCCCCCCTTTTTTTTTCTTTTAAGCAATGTGAAATTGCACCATTGAAATAGATTCTGCTAAGTCTGTACAAGAATTCACATGTTAACAACAATATTACTGGTATTGATTGAAAAGTTCCAAAGTAAAGAAAGTAGCACTCCGGGTGATGTGTCTGAGATTTAAAGAACAAGCCCCTAGAATTATTCCTCTATCATATGTACTCAAATTATATTTTTGAAGGCTGCTGGCTATATCTGTGTTAGTTACATTGGAGAGAGACATAATGCTGAAAATCCTAACATAAACCATAAAATGATTGAAGGGGACCCATCTCCGAATCTGGTCATGCCATAGTGTTAGTGTTTTGAAATGTATATTCTTAGTAAAATCTCTGATAGACCTATTTCAAGATTATATTATTCCTTAAAATGAAACTGAAATGATGGTCAGAAAGTATTTTTTTTTATTTTCTGAGATTTATTAGTTTTCCATCAGGTAATTTTATAACTTCAAGATCTTCCCCTCAAAATTAAGACCCCCACCCCCCTCCTCCTCCCAAAGTTTAGAACTGGATCACTTGGCCCTTTCTCTTCTTATCTCCTCCCAGTTCAAAATGCTTGCATCTCTTGATGGCCAGCATCCTCTTGGATCTGCAGTTAGGCTCAACACATTCAAGCGTCAGCACAATCTTCTTGGTGGTTTTAGCCTTCTTTCGGAATATTGGCTTGGTCTGCCCACCATAGCCGCTTTGCTTCCGATCGTAGCGCCTCTTCCCTTGGGCATACAGAGAATCTTTGCCCTTCTTGTACGGGGTCACTTTGTGAGGCTGATGCCTGCCACATTTCTTACAGAAAGTCCTCCTGGTTTGGGGTACGTTGACCATCTTTGTAGTAGAGCTGTCGGGAGACCCGGAGACCACGACACGCGCCTCCCGCAGCTCTGAGGAAAAGCTCAGAAAGTATTTTTTAGAACACTTTTCAGTGCCTCAATTTGAGGTTATAGTTAAATGAGGTAATTGGTTCTGTGTACTTTGATCCAACTCATGCAATGGATCTAGAAAGATTTAAACATGGTGACAAATACATTTTACTAATACAGGTCATTCTTATTAGTCTTTAAATGAATATGTACTGTCAGCTGGATCCAGTACCTAGTTGCTATTTGCAAATGCCGGAGATTAATAATGGGCTGCTTGAAAGAAGAGATTTATTCTCTGTCCTCACTACCCAAATAAAAATGTTAAAGGCTGAATATTTAGTTCATTGCTAGCAATTAATTTCCCTGGATAATGCATGTGTTGACATGTGAGTGCTAATGGTCAACATTGCTATGAGTCTGCAATACCAACTATGTAAACAATGGTAGGGCTTGGCTCAAAACACTCATAATGTTTGCATCTGATGAATTGGGAGACAAAGGTCTGTATTGGTTTTATTGATTCTTGAATCCTAAATCAAGTGGAAATTTATGACTAATAGCTTTCTTTTTTATTTTTAGTCACAAGTTGAAGATTTAAATGAAAATCTTCTAAAAATGAAAGAAGCCCTTAAAACAAGTAAAAACAGAGAAAATTCATTAACTGATAATTTGAATGACTTAAACAATGAGCTGCAAAGGAAACAAAAAGCCTATAATAAAATACTTAGAGAGAAAGATGGAATCAATCAAGAGAATGATGAACTGAAGAGGCAAATTAAAAGACTATCCAGTGGATTACAGGTGATTTATTTCTGGTAGTATCTATGATTTATAATGTGTAAGAAGTTATCTCTACTACTTAATTTCATCTATATTTGCTATTTTGATTAATTCCTTTGATGACTTCTCAAGTTTACAGTTCCAGAATAGTATTTCATACAAAATACAGAAGCAACTATCATATTATACTGAGTAACATTTAAAAAGTATGATTAATAATAGCCTCAGGAAAATTCTGTCTTGGAATATTTTGTAGTATTTTGACAATTATTTTTAGGATGTAAAGCTATTCTTACCTTGTGTTTTTCAGAGCAAACCGCTGATAGATAATAAGCAAAGTTTAATTGAGGAACTTCAAAAGAAAGTTAAAAAATTAGAAAGCCAACTAGAAAAGAAAGTGGAGGAAGTAGATATAAAACCTATTAAAGAAAAGGTATGTAAAGAATATTAATAAAGTAGTGACTCTAAGTTAACAGTGTAGCTGATGAACAAATAATATGTGAATTCATTTAAGGACCAGTAGTGGTATGAACAAAGAAGTATAAAACAAATTTCTGTCATTTAGTTATTTACAGACTACATATGGAAGCACCTATAGTGTAATTTTAATTTAGTAATTATTGCATCATCTCCAGATCCTTTTCCTGACATTAAATTATTTTCAGTGTCTCTTCATATATATATATATATATATATACACACACATATATAACATATATACTTATATATACAATTGTATTTACCATTTGTCCGTCACAGTAGTAGCTTATGTTGTTTTTTGAGATTAGGAACAATGATGTAGAGTTTAAGACCTCTACTTTGAACCAGAGTGTCCTTTTGCCTTAAGTACACCAGACTTATCTTGGGGTAAACATATGATCTTAACTATATTTAGATTTAGAGTAATACTAGCCAATTTGCTCATCACTTATTTCTATAATGTGAGATAAATTCCTTAAAATTTTTCTGTAGGTTAACTAGAAGACTATAGAAAAAGAAACACTAAACTTGATCAGAATGCATGTACTTACATTTGTTATCAACAATAAACGAGAAATGTCTTGATGGTAACATTGAAAATACCAAAAGTTACCTGGGAAATATTGATGTTAGTAATAAGTAGAGCAAAAGTAGAGCATGGCTGGGCATTGGTGGCTCACGCTTATAATACTAGCTACTCAGGAGGCTGAGATCTGAGGATCACCGTTCAAAGCCAGCCCGGGCAGGAAAGTCCATGAGACTCTTATCTCCAATAAACCACTAGAAAATTGGAAGTGATGCTGTGGCTCAAGTGGTAGAGCACTCACCTTGAGCTGAAGAGCTCAGGGACAGCGCCCAAGCCCAGAATTCAAGATCCATAATGGACAAAAAAAAAAAGGTAGAGCACATAACACTATGTGCTCAATACCTAGCACACACACAAAAACTCCTGGGAGTAGGAATATTTGCCCCTGAAGAAAAAAATCACTATAGAGGAGCTATTGTGAAGAAAAAAAATTGTTTTTTTTTTTTACTGTGAAAATACCGTACAGAGGAATTACAATTACATGGGCAAGATAACGAGTACATTTCTTATCAAGCATTGTTGCCTCCTCTTTGTTTCCCCTTCCCATCCCTTCTCATACTCCCTCCTCCCCCCACCTGATCCTCCCCCCAGCCCCCACCAAAGTTGTAAAGTTCATTTTACGACATAATGACTTGTACATCTCATTGTTGCAATGGGTCCACCTGTATCCCTAGTTAAACGATTTGATTTTTTCCTTCCCCTCCACAAATTATACCAACATCAAATACAGTGAAAGCATTGGTTATACCGTGGGGGAGGGACATACAAAGCAACAAAGAAATCATACAGAATGGAATTCTATGCCTCCATCAGAAAGAATGACATTGCCCCATTTATTAGGAAAAGAAAAAAAATTGTAACATAAACTTTAGCTAGAAATTTTTCTATATCTATCAAATAATTCATTAACATAAAATCAGAAAATTAAATGTCTGTAAATGCAATGGATAGAAAATGTGTAAAGAAATTTAAGTGTTTTGATAAAATATATACTCCCCAAAATGTTTCATAATGAAAACTATCAACATTATTATAATTTTGATGAAAATGGTTGCTTTTGTATTTGCAGAGTCATAACCTGTCTTTTAGAGCTCTGTTGGTGAAAACAGCAAGATTAATATAGGCCCTTACTCCGCTAGATTGCTACCTTAGCTACCTGCCTGTGGGATAGACCTAATTTCTGGGTGTCAGTCAGGTCCTACCCTATTTCTTATCAGAATACTCAGCAGCATGTTGTATTGCCTAAACTCTGACCCCTCTCCTTCAATATATTCTTCCTTCAAATGGAAATAATACTGTGTATTGTTACTTTTGTTTTTTAAATATTTTGACTATCAATTGAAATTATATGTGAAAATCTTCTAAGATACCATGTCCATACCACTGTAAGATTTTAACGTATTTCTTTACTAACTAGTAATAGAATAGAATTTAACACCAATATGAATACCTGTATCTAGGAACCATGACAGTATTTTTTCATATTCTATAGTACATAAAAAGTTCTATTTTATATTCACAGAATGCTTTCATATTTCATATTATTTGTAAATTTCAACACTTTTTTCTTAGCAAACAAGATAGCTACTTATAAAAAATATCTAGCCCTATTCCTTACATTTCTTTCTCCATAGCAATTATTTGTTTGTGAACATACTGAATATTGCCTGTTTCTGTGTTCATACTTCTTTGTCCTTGTTAGACTGTACACTTTGAAGGCATTGATTAACAAGATTGGATTGATTATTTTCACAAAATGCTTTAGTAGAAGTTTACCTTAGGCATGATTACCTATATTAATACCTTCATGTAATGATTTCCTAATGATGTTACCATTAGGAAGAACTTCTCTTTCTCCCTATAATTAAAAGAATAAAGTTTGTTTAAACTGAAGATTATTCTTGCTACTATATTGACATGCTTGAGGATTCTGGAGGTTATCTAACAAAATAGATCTCTACAAAACTTTTTGTAACATTGGTTTATTATTTCTTAAGGGTTAACCTTAAAGGAGATTAAAAATAATATTAGTAATTTTGTAACATTTTTATTGTTTACAGAGTACTAGAGAAGAATTAATTAGGTGGGAAGAAGGTAAAAAATGGCAAACCAAAATTGAGGGAATTCGAAATAAGTTAAAAGAGAAAGAGGGAGAGGTCTTTACTCTGACAAAGCAGTTGAATACTTTGAAGGATCTTTTTGCAAAGTAAGTTTAAAATTCATTGTAAAACTTACACTTATTTGTAAAATCTATGAACCTGGAATTGTAGGATTTTACCATAGTTTATAACATGAGAAGCTTCCCAGTTTGAATTACTTATCTATAATTCATTTTTTATTTTCCATAGAATGTGCTTGAAGTTTATTTTAACCATTATAAATGGAGTTTCCTCTGATTGTAAAATAAGTTAGTTCATTCCAAATACAGACTGGAATAATGACTATGCTAATGACTAAGCTTCAGTTAAATAAATTGAACAACCCAAACAGTAAATGGTATGTTTATAATTCTATATTTACTTCTACAGAGCTGATAAAGAGAAGCTTACTTTACAGAGGAAACTGAAAACAACTGGCATGACTGTTGATCAAGTTTTAGGAGTACGAGCTTTGGAGTCAGAAAAAGAATTGGAAGAATTAAAAAAGAGAAATCTTGACTTAGAAAATGACATACTGCATATGAAGTAAGTTACTACATAGGCTAGTACCATTTTGTGAAAAATACTAACCAGTCAATATGGAAACCATAGTCTGGGTTGTATTGACTATCTTTCATCTTGTGAGTTGAGGTAGGTTAGATTCTTTGCATACTATATAATTTGGGATTTATATTCCCTTTTTCTGGCTTTCATGAGATAATACAGTTCATTATTATCCCTAGTGATCCTACCAGGCAATGGAACACCAGAGCTTAATTCTCTCTACTACTTAATAATCACTGATCAATTACTCATTCCTCCATTCCCCTGAATCTTCCACATCTTTGGTAACCACTATGCTACCCTCAACATCTATGAAAGGTTTTAATATTCTAGATACTGCCTTCTTGATAGCAGTCAATTTCATTAGAGTGATGTGGCTATCTCCCATTACAATTTTGCTTTATATTCCCTAATTATTAATGATATTGATCATTTTTTCATGTGTTCATTTGTATATATTTTTTTAATTAATAAGATTTTTATTGTGAAAATACCATACAGAGGGGTTACAATTATGAGCAAGGTAATGAGTACATTTCTTATTAAGCATTGTTGCCTCCTCCTCTGTTTCCCCTTACCATCCCTGCCCTCCTATCATCCCCCCATTTGCATATATTCTTTTGAGAAATGACTTGCTCATTTTTAAATATTTGCTTTGCTTGAGTTTTCTAAATTCTGTGTGCATGTTGGAAATTAATCTCTTGTCAGAAGTATAGTTTATATTTTTCCCATTCTGTAGATTGTGTTTTTATTATGTTGACCATTTTCTTTGCCATACAGATTTTTTAATTGATATAATCCTATTTTTCTGGTTTTAGCTTTATTTCCAATGTTTTTGAGAACAGTAGATCTATGTTAATGTCCATTAAGAATGTGCCAGTGTTCCTATATGAATACCAGTATGAATGTGATATGAACCTAAGAAGTTAAATTTCTTTAAATTAACATTCTTAAGAGTTTCTATCCTATATACAATCTTCTTTTATTCTAGGCTACTGTTTTCTTTTTGTTTTAATCTTCAGATTTTCCCATGATAGGAATTACAATTTGTTCAAAACATCAGTTTATAGTGAATATCTGAGCAGTACATCTTTCCCATCCTTGTTTTTCTAGCACCAAATATAGGTATAAAGCAAAAGTATTAGCCTGATTTCACAAAGATGATCATTTTACATTTTTTTTTGTACTATGGGGATTTCAACTTGGGGGCCTCGGGCTTAGGAGACTGGGGCTCTACTACTCAAGACACCCCTGGCCCCATTTTACCCTTCAAACCTTTTAATACTTTTTTTTTTGTAATCATCAAACATTTTTTCTGAACTTCAAAATGTCTTGCTAATACTTTTAGAAGTTCTCTGTTTTATAGTTGTTGTTCCTACTATAAATCTGTGAGGGCTAAGGTAATTGGAAAACACTTCATAGAATTAATTTAACTGGTCTCCTTTCCAAGTTAAAGCAATTTGAGTTTCTTAATGCTATGAATTGAATCCAGATATTGAAGGGAAAAAGGGACATACAGGCATAGACATAGAACACATATACCTAGCAAGAAACTTAAAGAGAAGGGTCCAGGTTTCATGTGAAGAGTAGGAGTGAATTTTCTTCTCATTTAATGATAGACTACTGGACAGTACGGTTGGACATACATGTAGTTGCACCAAGGTATGGAGACTATTTTAAATCAGGTAAACACGTTTATACTTTAAATGTGAGATTATTATCTGGAATCAGTAAGAGACTTTGTAGATCTTTGAGCATTTTGATAATGACATAAATATTACTCAATTTTTATATAATACTTTTTAAAGGGGTTATTTTAGGTCTCTTACATAAATCCATGTAAATAAACAAGTTTTTCTTGTTAGCATTAGTGTGTTTCTACAAACAGCATACATTTTTAAACTGGTAAAGATACTACTTAATGAATGTTCAAGGGGCTTATTTTTAATACAAATTGTAGATTGTGATTTTCTTCTTCCCTCTCTCCCAGCTCACTTATTTTCTTTCTCTTTCTTTTTTCTCTCTTTTTCCCTCCCTTCCTTCCTTCCTTCCTTCCTTCTCTGTCTATGTGTGTGTCTTTCTCCCTCTCTTTCTCTCTCTTTCTTTCTGGATTTTTTTAGTATAATATAGTTAAAGTAAAGAGAAATGGGACATGAGAAACATTTCCTACTCCCCATGTAGTAAATAAAAGTTTAAGACTTGTTGTAGTTTATATTTTATGATGCATAGAAGTTTTTAAACCCTAAATTGAATATAGTATAAAGAAACTTATTTCATTTGTTACTTCTGTCCTGTACATTGTCATAAAATAGGGAAAATTTGAGATTTATATACAAAGTATCTATGATTGTTGTTTATAGGACCCAACAAGCTCTTCCTCGAGATTCTGTGGTAGAAGATTTACGTTTGCAAAATAGATTCCTTCAAGAAAAACTTCATACTTTAGAAAAACAGCTTTCAAAGGATACATATTCTAAGCCTTTAGTAAGTGTATATGTTTTCTTTTTTCTGTTTTTAACTGTAGAAAAGAAAATTCAACTTCCTTTATGATCTTTCTCATTAATATTGATACAGTCCATTCAACTTTATTTCTGCTAGGTAATGATATACAGTAACTTCGTTAATCCTCTTTAATCCATCCTCCCTTTAGTAATACTAAAGTCTATTTCTTTGTGCTTTGTATAAAACTTTAAAATGACTTCTAGAAATGCTCAATAAACATGGTAAAACTGAATTTTCCTGTGTTTGGAGCACATAGTTAAATGTAATGGAAAAATAGAATGTTTTCAGATATATATGGTACATGTATAATTTACGAAGTCTCATCATGAGTGAATAATGCGGAATTTTTCTGTATCTTATTTCTTATTTTAAATATTCATTGTTTTGTATATTTCCCCTTTTCACATTTCTTGTCTTATACTTTGGGCAGAATCTGGTATGGGACACAATTGTGCTTTCTACAACATTGTTACTGTTGTAAATAATTACAGATATAACAATTTTCACACTAAACCCTGCTTTATCCAGGAACAAAATATATAAGCAAAACATAATATTCAGAGCTAAAAATGGAAGAAAATAAATGTTAGGAACATCTTACATCATTGGGCACTTAGAAATGTTCTGCAGTATTATTGAAATTAAAGACACAAAAGAGAGGATGCTATAGATTGTACTGAACTAAATAATTATGAATCAAAGCTAAACAATAAATTCAGTTTAGGTCAATTAATGGTAACAGTAGATTTTAGCTATTTTTGAAATTTATCAAATCCTAAAATAGAAAAAAAAACAAGAATGTTGTGAAAATGATAATAATAAGCAGGAACATAATGAGGGTAGATGTCTACAATCAAGATGTTAGCAAGGTTAATTTCTTGTAAAGGCCTTGAAGGAAAGATGTGTCCGAAGTGTTGAGATAGATAAACTTCCCCTCTAATTTCTTATTTTTGTAAATATACTAGTCATTGGTAAGGTCTCATCTAAACTCTACTATGATTAAGTGACCTTATTTAGAGATAAGATCATGTAAGTAGTAGGAAATTACTAACTTTAATGTATGAATTTGGAGTTAGAGGAAACAACTTAGTCTATAACAATTCAATAACTTTTAGTTTGAACAAAATCAGTATATATTAGTTTAAGCATTATGAAGTATACATAAAGTCATTCTTATAGATGTTTAAAGTCATAATTGGTTTTACTTTTGATTTTAAACCAAATTACCTTTTGTATTGCACGGTAATATATTAGTTTTGGTTTCTGTAGAGCTTTCTGTTATTGTTTTTGTTTTCCATATTGCTTTAAGAAAAAAATTCCTTTCTGAGAGGAATTTTTTGAGGCTTTTATTAAACTTTAAACACATTCTAAATTCCACTTTCCAGAAGACTTCAGAAACTGAATCAGATGATTTTTATCAAAAAGAACAGGAGCTTCAAAGGGAAAACTTGAAGTTGTCATCTGAAAATATTGAACTGAAATTTCAGCTGGAACAAGTAAATAAAGATTTGCCAAGACTAAAGGTAAACTTAATGTTTATTACTGTAGTTAGAATATGAAATCCTTAAAATTCTTCCCCATCCTAGTTTACTTATATTAGCATATGAAATACACATTCATAAAATATCACATCTGTGTTGTTGAGGGCCTCCATTGTATCAAATACTCTTCCTGCTGCTAGTATATGATAAAATAACAACAATAAAAAAATCTGTTTACTCAGAGTTTCTCTTCTAGTGGGAAAGACTAATAGTAAACAGGTTAACATAGTGACCCAGCTAATGTGCAGAACAAAAAAGGAGAAAAATGAGGCCTGATTGGAGGAAACTAGTGGTGAAAGTGTATGACTTAGAGTAGCAAAAAAGTGCTTATACAAATAATGGGAAAAAAATTCCAGAAGATAAAACTAATAAGTTCGGTGCCCTGAGATTGGATACATGTTGTATTTCATTCATAATTTTCATGCTTGGACATAAAAGGATAATTGTTTCTTTTAAAAATATTACTAAATAAATTTTGTGTCTTTCCTTTTTCTGTATCTACCCTGTTTATGGGAATCTTTGCATCTCTTGACTAACTTTGCAGTTCTGTTTTCTAATGTAGACTATTAGCAGTTTGTCATTTCCACTGGTGGTAATACACCTTAGAAATGTCCTGTTTCTTAACCATTGTAAGAACTTCAATTTTATTTTTCTGTTTCACATGGTAAGTATGTACATGTATAAATTATAGGACAGTTAAAATCAGAGTTCTAAGCTGGGGACCAGTGGGTCATGCCTGTAATTCCTAGCCACTCAGGAGGGAAGTAAGATCTGAGAATTAGAGTTCTAAGCCAGCCAGGGTAAGACTCTGATTTCTAATTCCACCCAAAAATCATAAGAGGAGCCATGGCTCAAGTGGTAGAGTGCTAGCCTTGAGCAAAAATGTTGAGGTATTATACCCAGGATCTGAGTTCAAGTCCAGACCCAGCACCAGAAAAAGAAAAAGAAAAAATTCAGAGTCCTAAACTCCAATTTATATTGTATACTTAGGAAATAGTATAGAAAATATTTCTTAAAAATTCATGCTCTATATACTGTTTTGTTAATTTAACATATTCAACATAATTCAAATTGTTCCTTGTTTCTTTTAATAATTCCGTTGCTTAATTTGGCTATACAGCTTTAGACTTTATTAAGAAATGTTTTGCCGGGCACCAGTAGCGTACACCTGTAATCTTAGCTACTTAGGAGTCTGAGATCTGAGGATTACAGTTCAAAGCCAGCCTGGGCAGGAAAGTCTGTGAGACTTTATCTCCAATAAACCACCAGAAAACCCTAAGAGGTGCTTTGGCTTAAGTCATAGAGTGCTCGCTTTGAGCTGAAGAGGTGAGGGACAGCACCCAGGCCCAGAGTTCAATCCCCAAGACTTAAAAAAAAAAATAAAAGAAGAAGAAGAATTGTTTCCTTTTAGTGGTTATTGTTTTGTTGGATTTTTACATATTTTATCTTTTAGAATCAAGTAAGAGATTTGAAGGAAATGTGTGAATTTCTTAAGAAAGAAAAAGCAGAAGTTGAGCGTAAACTTGGCATGGTTAGAGGGGTAAGTATATTGTTTTGGAAGCAGGGCCAAAGATTTAGGCCCCTGTTGATTTTAGACAGGTGAGTGGCACAGATGGAAGCAGGAATAAACACAGGGATAAAGCAGGAACCTATTTTGGTAATGATAGAAAATACCTTATGGAGGCAGTAACAGCATTAGTAGACAGCTTTCCAGAAAAGTTTTCTTGGTGACAGTTAACAACATTTGTTCCAAGATGAAAAAATATATATGTATTCATGCTATAAATATATAAAATAACACATCAGTTTAAAACTGTAAAGAATTTCAGAAGAATAATCTTTTGTAAATTAATGAATGTGTTTATTAAAATTATATAAATTTACATATTATGATTACTCATTATACAATGGAATGCTAACATGTTAGAAAAGAGCTAAGAATATTATTTTACTCAACTGTTGAAAATTGTTTTATCATAAATATAAGCAGTTAAAGTTATTAATGATAGATCAATCTCTTCCTAGTTCTACACTGGTTTTCATTTCAGATGTCTTCTGTTTATACCAAACAGAACTAAGTGTCTAAGCAGTAGCTACTCAAAGAAATTGTCTTTTGAATGCTATAATTACAATTAGGTTATTCATGAGCTGGTTCAAGACACAGTGAATTTACTCCACACGAAGAAAACTGTAGGGTGTTAGAGAGAACACTAGCTAACTAGAATACTTCAGTTTATTCATTTGATTACACATCAAGGCCTAGAGTATTTAAGTATTATTTATAAATTATATGACTTGAGGAATATCAAATACTTTACCATGATCTTTGAGTAAATAAAGTAAGAATTAGAATTCCTATCTTTTAGGTTGTTTTAAAGAGATATTTAATTAACGTACGCTGGGAAATAAAATATCAGCAGTTGCTAATAAGATTACTTCAATTAAAAGACCTGTGGGTAGTACTGGGTACTTTAAGTTATACTCTACTAAATATTTGTTTTAAAAGTTTGCATATTCTTCTTCAGTCTGGTAGAAGTGGAAAGACAATCCCAGAACTAGAAAAGACCATTGGTTTAATGAAAAAAGTAGTTGAAAAAGTCCAAAGAGAAAATGAACAGTTGAAAAGAGCATCAGGAATACTTACCAGTGAAAAAATGGCAAATATTGAAGGTGAAAATGAAAAATTAAAGGTAATTTTTAACGTGATCGTATTTACAGAAATGCTTTGCTATTATAATTATTTACTTATTTTAATTTTTAGATGAGAATTCAGTGCTTTGTTTTTTTTAATTTAATTTAATTTTATTTGTGAACATACTGTACAGAGTGGTTACAATTGCATGGGCAGGATAATGCGTACATTTCTTACCAAGCATTGCAGCCTCCTCCTTTGTTTACCCTTCACATCACTTCCCAGCCTCCCCCCTA